AGATGACACCTCATAAGAAGTGTTCCTGCAAGGGCACTTCACAGCGGTGGGATTGTCGTGTAAATATGGGTAGCACTTCCCTAGATTTCATTTGGCGAAAGTTGATGTGTCGTCCGCTAAACATCCATTGCTTTTACCGCATTTACTGACAAAAAGTTTCTGACATAGCAAAGATTGCGTGGGCGATGGTCCCGCTAAAGCCGAACGAGCTCAGCCGACACGGGCAAAATCGTCCTGCCTGTGATACCGCCGCGAGCTCTACAGGCATTAAAAATGAAGCGGATACCACCATACCCAAATGCGGGTTCAGTCTGGGTTTGAAAATTGATTATCTGGGTGCGATCTCATTAGAAGCCGTCTCAGCTGAACGTTGAGTGTAGTGACAGATATAGCAAGATGCACGAATACGATTGATGTCAGGCCTGCAGCAGCTGCTGACGCCTCCAAGTGACCCATGCTGGACTTCAGGGAGACGCATTGGACTGTTTGTGGGGCGTCATTGGTCCTCTTGCACAAAGCACCAGCAGCTGCACCCACCTGGACTCTAAAATCTTCTCACACAATTGCGGCACTTCGAGCGCGCGCCTCGATTGGATCACCAAGTTTCGTGCCGGTTCCATGGGCTTCGAGACAAGATCGCAAAGTAAACTAACTTCACACCGCTTTGATGAGACGCTTTTGGGAACCGCCGTTTGGTGCTGTGAGACTGGCACTGGGCCCATCTTACTGCACAGCAGAATTTATTGATATGGACTAAATATTGAAGTTTATCTCCTCAGACACGCACAAAACCAGCGCACTGCAACCTTCTGCCCGGCAATAACCGTCAGCGTTCGAATCAAATGCATGGCATCAACCACGAGGTGAAAGCATGCCAGCTGCATCAAACAAAGCAACGCTGCACTCCGAGAGCAGACCAACAGATGCAACTATAGCTCGCATGCATTCGTGACGGAGCTTCGCGCCTGCAGCGAAGTGGAAGGCGACAAGAGCAGAAGAACACGCCGTGTCAATTGAGGAGCAAGGTCCAATCAAGCCGAAATGATATGAAATACGCCCTGCCGCAACGGACATCATTGTGCCCAACAGAAAACAGGGTAACCCACCCACATTTTGAACGATCGAGCTCTAATCTAAGATTCCACAAATACCAATGAAGACACCTGCTTGATCCATGTTCGAACATCGTGTCAAGTGCAGAGCACTGCAGCATTCAAGTAGCATTAACTGCTAGGTGTTCATGTGTTTCAAATCACTTCTTGAAATACCTAGGCGCTCGCTAGAGAACAAAGAATTGTCATCAATAAACGAACCATACTACACACTACTGGCTCCTGTGCACCGTGTCATTGGGAACCTCCTCGACGAAATTCCACGCCGAGCTATGGTAGTGCGCAGCATATCAGGACTACGCGAACACAACGGTAGCAAGAAGTTCAGGTTCGCCACGGCACAGGTTGTCCGGGTCATCGATCTCGATACAGTCAGATTTGTTTCGATTCCAGCACAAAGCACGAACGTGGCTATCTCATCGATTGTTGGGTGGTCGAATGTGAGTGTGGATGGCAATGCAGTCTTCAGCTCTTCGTTTAAAGCTGTGATAGCTCTTGTCGTCATTATAGACGTGAACCCAGCCGACATCAACTTTGTTTTGACCGAAAGATCCTCCCCAAGAGTTTCGGACACAACCGAGGACACGACGGACAAAACGCAAGTATGCTCCGGAATCGAAGACTCTCTTCATACTGTGCACATAGGAATGACTTTGCCACAAGCGTCATCATGAGTGTAGGTAACTGGATCATCCGTACTGAGGATTGCGATACCAAAGTATTCAGCGAGGCCTGCATAATTGCTCTCGGCGTTTTGGTGAATGCATTGCGGTGATCATGAATTAATGATCATGTCCGGAATGCAGCATTGTGGCAGTGCATCAATGCCCATGTCCTAATCACCAAGTGTGCAACTTAAACGCAAGTCATGAAGAGTACATGTCTCAGGACTCCCTATAGCGATGCCAATTGCCTCACCAAGCTGCGCATGTGGAACGGGGAAAACAAGGCAGGATGTGGTCGATCCAACAAGATCTTCTATCAGGAGCGGGTCGATACCAACTCCAGCGCGAAGGATTCATCTGTTCACTCATGCCGATAGACCAAGGTGGCCCTCTTTTGAAATAAATCCAGAATCACCTGTAGCACGCCACGAGGAGAGCCATGGGGGGTGTATGAACACTTGCCCTTCGACGTTTGCTTGAACCGCAGTCCCATCTCATTAGATTGTGATGACTGGGCCAACCTGCCCCGCCGTGTCAGGAACATAAATCACGCGCTTCTCAACACCGGAGCTCACCGAATGCATTGACTCTTCCTGACTGCCACTGATACAACAATTTGCACGATCCTTGCGATTTGGCGATGCTATGACTAGACCTGTTGCATAAATAGGCAATACAACTGGACCTCTCCAAGGTAAAACTCATAGTGAACATATTTGGACAATTTCAACCGGATGAAATTAAGGAACCTTGGCCACAAAAAGAGTCGGAATTGAAGTGTACCTGACATGAGGTGTTCTTGGGTCTCTCAGGAATGCATACTTGCTTACCATGTTACTTAAGGATTTCATTTGCCTCCGAATACGATTGATGCGCCTGCAATCAAAGAGGCGAGGAAATTCCCTGAAAATCCTCTGGGTGAGAGCAGCGGCGCGTGCATAACGCAGACGTCCCGAGGTGTCAGTCACAGCAAGTTTGCGACGCAGCACGCGCTTGAAACTGCTGTCGCGTGACATACAGTCACGAGCTTGGCGGTCGATCCCTGTGCACCGAAGATAAACTCGATGTCTCCCCGCGTTCAGTTGAGTGGCTGGCATACAGTATGTCACCACTCCGAGACTACCGCATCGATGAATGCCTGGATCTGGCTATTAGATGTTATAAGCACCGGTATTGCCCGAAGAGCAGACTCTTATGTGACAGCATTTTCTTTGTGCGTCACTACGCTGTGTGGTCTCAGAAGGTCCAACTATTGCGCAAACTCGGAGCGCGTCAGGAATGCGTTCAGCGGGATCACAGTTGACATCCGGCTAAGTAACAACAACGCCACTGCAGCAACCAATCCCTTCCGCAAAACAATCGCGATCCTTCCACTCAAATGACGGCAACGACCATTTTGGAGGAGGCTCTCCAAAGCGCTATACTTCAAGTTTGTAGAGCATGCACTATAGAAGGCCACACGATTGCTCGATTGTATCAAATCATGCGCCGTCTACCAAAGCCCATTGAGAGTTGCTTCCATACTCAACTCGCCGAGCGGAACCTACATCCTCGCTGGAGATGAATTGTTGGAGCGAGGCGTGACACTGAGTTCCAATAGATGAGATTCAATTTCTTTCAAAATCTTTGAGTGATTTTATCGACCCAATGCACCGATTCCATTAATGGCAAAGTGGCTACCGGCTAGCAGGTGTGTAGATACTTTGCCTGTGAGGTGTCGCTGCAGCCAGCCTCAACCATGGTCATTGGATAGCATTGGACTTTGTTTAAGAAGGACACCACTATACATTTCATAAAAATCTAGACCATACTCACACAAAAAGAGAAGGACCCTCCCAGGAAAACCGGGCGTTGTGACCGTAGGAAATCTTCAGTACTCATCAGCCCATGTGTGCTATTTAGAAATATTTAGAATACCCCTAGTAGCAGCAATTATGACGCTGTAATCTGGCTTCGACATTGAACCAGCAAAGTCATCATATGAGAGATCTTCTACAGACACTGCGCGTGATAGTTTCACAATTCTTTGGTAGCTCGATATCTGATGTGGTGAATGCTAGTCCAGATAGTCTGCTGCAGTAAGGGAAAAAATCCCACCGAGGAGATGTCCAATGTAGTGTTTCTCGTTACTCAAAGAGTCTGTGGGTGGACTCGGATCAATCATAACACACGAACATGGGACTGCCTTAAAGTGTAATATCTTAGCTATCTCCAAACCAACTTCAGCCCCAAGAGAGTCACCAACTATGCATATGGGGGACTCATGTGCCAGCTCAAGGAGCTCCCCAGCATGATGTGAAGCAAGTGCCTATCAAGATCGTTCTTTCCAAACCGAGTGAATGACTGGGGGCTTCCGCAGCATGTATCGGGTTACTGAAGAGTGAAATCATCATGCTATTGCCATTCCAGTCCCCGACTCTGTCCCATCATACATGAACGCAAGCATCGGTACCGACGCACTTCCCTAGTTCAGCGAAATTGGTACCATATCTTCGATCGGGGGCGTCGCATTTGTATCATATTCCTTAACGCAGCTCTGCACAATCTTCTTAAGCGCCACATGCGACTCGTTTTTTGGGATACTAGTGTGTTAGGATAGGTCCGCAGCAAGCAAGCGCAGTGTCGGAATTTCAAAAACTCAAGTGATTGGTAGGTCTATGCCAAATTGCACATTGATTTGATCAGTTATTCAGACAAGGCACCTGGAGTGAACTCCCATGTCTAAAAAGGAAGTGTCGTCTTCAGTGGATGGCTCGCTCGCGTCCACATGCTTCTCCCCATGATTTCTCCGTTGGTAACGATGAAAAGAAAAGGCACCTCGAATGTTGGTCTTTGACCTTGAGCTAGAAATGGTTGTGAAGCACCCATGGGCAATAGTTCCGCTAAAGCCAAATGCGCTAAAACGACCCATACTAGTCCTGGAGTGTGCGATTCCCATCATTGGCTCAACGTTTATCTGACAATGCAAACAGGTCATTGACAGATGACTCAACCTGGCATTTGAAAGAAATGTTTCTGTTGTATGCTTCGCTAACCCAAGCTGACTAATTAAATTAAGCGTTCACTGCGACCATGTTCAGGCGCAGGGGTACAAGTATGAGAGACAACAGACCCGCAGCAGCTGCGCACGCCTCTAAGTGGCCCATATTTGACTTCATACACACGCACTGCACCGATCATAGTGCTTTTTCCTCTGATGCACACAGAGCCATAGCCACAGCGCCCACC